GGAGCAGGGGCGCGGGGGGTGGCACGCCGGACCGGAGGCCGGGCGTGTGGGCCGGCCGGACCGCACCGCGCGCATGCCTAGACACGGCAGGGGGAGACAGATCGGCGCCCCATGGCCTGGGCCGCGCCAGGCGGGGCTGACGCCGGGCCGGGCCCACTGCCTTCGTTCCCCCCCCCCTGGCTCCCGCCCCCACCTCCCCTGCCGGCTGACTGGCCGTTGGTTCGCCAGTTGCAGGGGCGGGGTTTCTAAAATCGATTGACCCCCAGAATACGCCGAGGCTGGGCGGGGGGAGGGGCGGCTGGGCGGGGCCCAGCGTGGCCGCCGGCCGGCGCCAGAGTGATTAATGATTGCCACGGCCTCCGGGGGCTGGCGTCTGCGCGGGAACCCGCGCGCCGGCGCCCGCCAGAGTCCCGCCCTCGCCCCCCACCCCCCGGGGGGAGGGGAGATGCCCGCGCCCGGGTCAGGTTAATATTATCCCCCACGGCAGTTCTCTCGGGGTCGCCCCCCCCCCCCCCTTGGTGGGATGCCTGAGCCCGGAGGCAGGGCGAAATGTGGGCGTCCCCTTTTTGGGCCGGCGGCGGCCAGCGATCCCCCCTCTTGCGCGGCAAACACGCCCCCCCCCCCCCCTACACCAGTGCGAGCGACCAAGGAGATGGGCAAAAATACCCTCGGCTTCGCGGAGCTCGGGCCAAGTGCCAACCCAGGCGCCGTCTCGGATTTCACGCAAGGTGAATGGTATTCCGACAAAGCGCCGGGCCGCGGGTAGGGGAGGCGCAATTGGGCGCGCGCCCTTCTCCGGCGTCCGGGGGCGGCCGGTGCGGCTGACGCGAACGTCCATCACCGGTGCGCGAGGCGCGCCGGGCGAGTGTGGTGGCTGGCGCATCCGCTCTTCGTGCTAGGGGGCTCATCTTTCCCGGAGTGCGAGTGTGGGCCCGCAGGCCTAGGTCAAGGCCGTCAGTGTGGGGAGTGTGGGGCTTCCCTTGGGCCGTCCGGGTCCGAGGAGGGGGGGGTGCGGGCGGGCGGGCGGGCGGGTCGCAGGGCATGCACAGCGCGGCGGCCGGGGGCGCCCTGGCAGGTGGTTGCGGGAACGCTGTTGTGGCAAGCTGCGCATGCGGGACACATATGTCCCCCCGGACCTGGGCAGGTTGCCATCGGCCAGGCTAGAAGGGCGCAGCCAGCAGCCCTGGTTCGCGGTGGGGGGGGGG